GACGGAATATAACCTTGATCTGGTATTTATCAGAAATAGTCATCAGCAGAATAATTATTAACTTAATTTATATTTTGTAAAATTGTTTTTTTTTTAAACTTAATTCACTTTTTTATTTATTATTTTTTATTGTTTACACCTTTGTCAGGGCTAAGTTTCAGTTAGTCTTTTTTAACTCACCCACTAGTAAGTTTTTTTAAAAGTTATATGAAAAAAAAAACGGTTGAATCTAACTTAATAAAACAAATAACGTTGATTTAAAAATAATTTTTAAAGTGCTCACATCTAAAAAAACTAACAATGAAAGAAAATACTTTTGTTATGGATTTTAAAATATTGGCGTTTATCTCTGGATAGCAACGTCGTAAAAATGATGATGATGGCTGGTTATACTTTTTTTTTTCCTTTTCCTTGTTGTTAAAAAATTCTTAACTTTACTTGTATTTGAGATACCGGTATATTTCAATATAATTATTGTGACAAAAAAGCCTAAAATTTTAATGTATGATTATAGAAAAAAATCTTCAACCTTTTCGCAATAATATAATTATAAAAGAATGCAATTTACTTAATAATTAATTACAGCTTTCGTAAATTAAGAAAAAATCGTTCGCCTGTAACCCATGACCGTTCGTTAATTAATAACACCTTCAAAACAAATGAATTATTTTAATTGCTGCACATTCTAAAAATGTTACCTTAGAACGAGTAATTTTATTATTCGCTCAATGCAAATTGCTAGTGAGAAAACCTGCTATTATGTAGTTAATCCTAATAAGCGATATTCATAACAGAGATCTTTTCTGTGACTTAGAAAACTGCGCCAGCGTAGACGCCTGCGTGCAAAATAATACGTATTGGCCACGAAGTAATGATGATAAAGAAGTGAAGACTAAGATATAACATTTTAAATGTAATGATACATGCTCAAGTATTCAAGTCATTTATTTCTTGACTTGTAAGCCAGATATTTATAATTGGCTTATAGATAGATTTTAACGTCGCTGAAAATATGGTATTATGTCTAATTGAAACTCTGTAAAATGTACGAGCTTCTCTAATTTGTCCATATCATAATAATATACTGTTTTGGTTTATTACTTTTAATTTATATTTAAAAAATCTTTAACTAAACATTTGCAATAAATCAAAGTAATAAGGTACGGCGAGGCCCAAAGGTTGTATTTGACTTTTAGTAATTATTCAGTTATTATACTGTCACACTTAATACATAACATAGAAGCAACCATATCATACTATGTTTAGTAAAATTCACAGTTAATTTCTAATTATTAAAATATATTTCCTAGCTATTTTCTAAAAAAAAAAAATACCCTTGTCTTTTTCTACCCCATAGGCTGGGTTAAAAGGACAGCCATCGCGCAAGCAGATAAAATGTCTTTTAAATGTATTTTAAACTTTAAAGGTATTTTGCTAAATAATAGCTGATTTATTTAAACAATGCGAAACAAAAATTGTATATGCACATTTTACTTACAAAGATTACACTTTGATCTAGTTTTATGTAAGAAATATTCATCAGCAGTGATGGAATAAATATTAATTTAATTTATATTTTGTAAAATTGCTTTTTATACCTTAATATACTTTTTCAATTACTATTATAGTAAAGCTAGTATAAAACTTTAGTTGGTCCTTTTTGTAAGCTTTATGTAAGCTTTCATTTTTACAATTGAATAACGTATACTTAAAAATTATATTCAGGTTTCATAAACTAATTCAAAACCTTAAAACTAAAAATAACTACCGACGAGTAGAAAACAAAGTTGATATCCAAAATATTGTAAATTTAAAAAATAATATGATTTGAAATCATATATGAAAGACTCTCTTTATATGGAAGCCTTTTTTGAAAGTTATCTCTTGTTTCGAGAAAAATGAAGTTTAGCAATTCCGTTAATCTAGACAAATTGTATGAGTGAGGCAATGTTTCTATTTTATCGATCTTTAGTTTGATTATATAATATAAATTTGGTTTAAGAGAACTATAATAATATAAAACTATAGGCTGTAAAAGATTTGCACAACTTTCAAAATTAGGCTAGTGTAAAAATCGTTTAACTTTAATTATGAAAAATTAAATATAACTCAAAATATACTTCCTTTTAATCCAATTTGGTTTATAAAAATGACTATACTTGATAACTTCGACAAAAATATAAACCACGAAATGATTTTACTTATGATCTGATATGTGGCAGAGTTTTATAATATACATAATTCTGGGGGTAGCAATAAATGACGCCAAAATCTGCATTTGTATGGTTTTATTATATGCTTTTGAATTTAAAGTGTACAAAGCAAGGAATTTTGTTAAATAAATTAACAGCTAATACATTAAATTAAGCACGAATTACATAACAGATTTTGTTAAAAGTGGACTTACACCAATATCAAAAATAACATTTATACCATGGGATCATTTCATAAAACTATGTCGAAGAAATCATAGCTCAGAAGTAAATTGCGATTCAGCTAAATGTTTAATATAGTATTTTCTCTATCAACTGCTATTAATTTCGTACTTACTTTTACTCGTTTTGGAACTTTGCGAAAAATATAAGGGTGATAGGCAAAACCACCCTATAAAATATTATACATATATAAGAAAAGTTCATATAGTCCTTCATAAAACAAACCGTTCCTATCATAACATTGGTCGCGAAAATTTTACATCTACTTTCCTCTTTTAGACGGCCAATTAAATTAACTTTATTCTGAATTTATTCAACATCTGCTCTTTGTCTAAATTTTTCCAAAATTATAAGTAAAATCTTCAAATTCTTCAAGGTATTTCAAGGCACGGATTCATATAATAGCAGTATGATATAATAATATTTAAGTACAAATAATATGGAAGTATTATATATATGTATATATAAATATATATATATATATATATATATATATATATATACCCATATAGCGAAGATGAGAAGGCCTTTAGAAAAAGTTCAAGGTTGTTGTTAAGGTCGTACGGCGTGGAGGGAAAAACTAGTTATCGATGATGTATGAGTAGAGAATTAGTTGCAACTTACGAATACATTGAATGCACACATGCAAGCGCAACCTGATCATAGAAATGCATTCAGCTGGAATCTCTCAATCATTTTTTTACCTATTCATAATAACTCTGCCGCTTATTATAATTAAAATTTAATGGTTTCTTTCGGGTAGGCCGGAAAACTATCCGGCTCTACTGTAGCCGACACCTTAATAGGCTTAGAATAGAGTTATGTAATCAGTTGGTCTTAGTGAATTTTTTAATTTTAAATAAACATTTAGAAATATATTTATTAGTCTATTAGTGCGAGCTCCTTGCGAGTAAAAACAGGGTATATTGTATATGATGAATTTCAGGTTTGGAAAATGTTAAAACATGGACATACATATCTGTTACATGAATTTCATGTTTAATTACTTATTAATTTCCCGTGGGGTAGTTGTAGTAATGGGTTGAAAATCGAAAATGAAAATTTTTGCATATCTTCAAGTTTTGAAGTTTGCTGAAAAATGTGGCATGCCTCAGAAAAAATGGATGTGTGTATGTTTTTTGTATATCCGCATTTTTTCGATCACGTTTTCGAGCGCACGGATCAACCGATTTGAATGGTTCAAAAACATTAGATTTTTATTGATATTGATTTTTCAAAAAAAAATTTTTTTGTATATCGAAAATAATTCAGATTTTAACATTTTGTTACGGTGCGGGAAGTTCCAGCAATTTGCCTTAAGGCACGATGCCATACAGTACTAGTTTATTAATTTAAAATGATCATGCACTTTCACAAAAGCAGCACAAGTAATATTTGAATGATGCATGTAACTACGACAGATATTACAAACCTATTAAAAATTATATAAAAATTATCAAATTATTATTTAATCATAAAAGTAGATAGTTATTCAATACTATGATATATCACTATGACCATTATATTCCAGATAATTTAAATCGGTTGATGATGTCAACCGTCTAAGTGGATTTGCTATAGATTTAGTATTTTTAGAATAATAAGTGAAGTTGCAAAAAGTAAACCGTATTTTACTTTTAAATTTTAATATTTCTTTTCCAAAAAATTATACTCACACAAATTATAGTGAACTTAAAAATATTAATCTTTATATTCACAAGAAACATAATAGCTAATATATATGTATATTCCATAGTCAATAATACATTGAATTATATTGTTTTTTGTAAAACTATTTTTATACAATACTCGCCACTTTAGACAAAATTTCAATATATTCGAACTATTGAACTATTGAACTATATTAAATCTTAATTAGGTCTTTTAATTAAACTGTCACGCATTTTAGTGCAATATTTACGACGACTAATTTACGACTGATAATGGTCTTAAAAAGTCTAATTATTATTTTATGCTTTTCTTTTAATTATAGCTTGAGAGTGAGCTTTGCAAATATAAATTACTGATATGAATATGTATAATACTGGACTTGGTTGTAAACGTAAATACTTATAAAATTGCGTAAATGCTATTAAAATTTAATGATATTACCAATTAACAATTTATTTTTTGCAAAGATAATATTATTGTAATTAAAAAAAAAGTTGAATAATATTTCATTTTGAATTAGCACTATATTTTCTTAGCTACTTATTCTTTTAATATTAGTGAGTTCTTTTTAGAACCAATTTAAATTAAACAGTATAAGTTGTTGATTATTATCAATGCTCTATCAAGTTGAATGATAATTCAGCTGAAATAATTTTAAGTAGCATCTGGCAAATAAAACTAAACATTTATAACATTAACTGTGGTACTATTTTTATATGGAAAATTGTTCTCAGTATATGAGCATTACAAAAACAATATAAATACAAAATTGCTCTTGCCGGTATTCAAGGCATATATGAGCAAAATTGATTAAACACTGCTTTAATGTAACTTTAGCGAATGCTATAAAACAAATCATTAATCATTCTCTTTCTTTATTTTCAGCAAAAATGAAGATAATTTTGCCGCTAGTGGTCTGGATAACATTAACTGCACAACATGTAAGTGTTTATAATAGAAATTTTAATAAGTTTTGTATAAGGCATGCATATAGAATTTCCTCAGAATTTGTAATTATGTATACCTACGTTTTCCAAAGCGTTGTGAACCACCCTATAACGAATTGCAGAAGTATTGCTATTACCTAATTTATAAGGTTCATTATTTCAAGATAATATCTGCCATCTCAGTGAATAAGTGGTTAAGTCTTTTAGTAGTTTTATAAGTGTTAAGAATTTCGGCAAAAATGTTTTAAATCGCGGTATTAACTATTTCTCTGAAAATAGTTATTAAATTGCAAAACTATTGGTTAAGAACAAAACTTAATGAAGCTCTTTGTATAAAATTTAAACCACTAGTTTCAAAAACGCGATATTACACGAGTAATAGAACTTTGAAATCAAGCTTTGCAAAATAGTGAAAATTGACTTAAACAGTTATTCATCGGGATGATTAACATTTCTGAACAAACAATAGTTATTTAAATACAGAATTTAAATACAAAATTTCTGAATCTATCAACGTCCTGACTAAATTCAATGAATCATCGCTTGAAGAATATTATAGAAATTTATTGTATATGAATGTTGTTCGCTCGTGAGACTTTATTATGATGAAAATGCTGATGCCAAAAATAAAGAACCTTTAACGTCATGGCAGCAAATTATTGTCACTGGTCGTTTCGCATAAATTTGTATATCGTGCAGGATATATGAATGATTTATTGCATGTAAAAGCATTCAGCATACGTAATTGCAGCCCAAGAATTCCTCGGATATGTTCGGATGCTACCTTGCAAAGTAAAATTTATTAGTGGACAGTCCGCGTCTATGATATGTCCGCTGTCTGAATACATTTGACTTGCTTTATGTGTATTAAGAATGCAGTTTATTGCAGTTTATTGAATCACTTGCTTATTCATTGGAAGGAATAACAAAGTTGCCATTGGCTTATATATATGCCTACATCAATACCAGCCGGTTTTGCGAACACTGATCAGTCAAGAAAATAATTGTTTTGCTCTACAAAATTGTTTTCATTGTGCCCCTCCTTACAATCATTGCACAAATTTCAATCAATTTATTTATTACTGGTTTGATTAGGTCATTTCTACACATAAATCCACTTATATTATAAGGTTGATTTATAACGACGTTAACTTATTTAAATAAATTCAAATACCGAATTGAATAAATTCAATAAATTGCACATTTTGCATACCATTTCTTTTCAATCCGTTTTCTTAAAACAGTTCGTTTATTCGAACAACCTCAAAAAAAATTGATTATAGGAGGCGTCCATTATTCATGTGATCGATTTTAAGGATTTTTGAGCCCCTCATCTCTCCTTGGTTATACAAGATGATATTCAAACTTACTCGCTCCCCTACCTAATATTACATATGTATTTTTAGCCCTTAGAAAAAACTTCGAAAAAGTTTGATTTTTTTTAAATTCAGACAAAAAATAAATACGCTTGATATCTTAGTAGACACTCTTTCCCCTCACGTGAATTTTTATGATTTTTTGTCAAACTCTTTTGCTTTAAAAGAAGGCCTCATGTGATTAATGGACGTTCCATAAGTTAGAGGTGGGGGAGTTTGGGGCTGTAAAGGGGTAACTAGTAACAGATGTTTTTCAATAGAACCTTAAATGACATCAAAATATATTTTTATCTTGATTGGCAACCGTCCTGCATAAATCATGGCAACAGTCATGCAGGTCGACGCAGCAACCAGAATTGTGCAGTTGCGCCATTTCTGACAAATATTATAAAATTTTTTCATTATAAAATTTGGGTTTGCGTTATTATTATTGACCATTTTAAATTTTATACATCCTTATTTAAATTCAACAATTTTTGGTAATGTGAATTGCTCTCTAATATCGTTCAATTAAATTTAGTCAATAATTAAACAGTTTTCAATAAATTGGTTTATTAATATATAATTGAAAACTATTTTCATGTATGCATTGAAAAAATATAGTTTGTAAACATTTTAAATAGAAAAATAAAATTTTATGATTTTTGTAAATTATAAAATGAAGCAAGCGATTTCAATGGATTCAATTAATGTAACTAAAATATAATTCCAAAGAATGTTTATATTCATCCATAGTTTTTAATTTTTTTTTATTATTTGCTAAAATAGCTTGACTTCGTATTCGTTGAGCTTAATCTAGAGCAATTCTTAGCATATAAAGATTATATTTTCTTCTGACAAACCTCATCTTTAAGCGTTAATACTTAATACCACAATTTCTTATAACGAAACATCAAGGGCACTTATTGTAAAGCTTTTTCCTTTTTCATGATCTGCTTGGATTCTTTTGTTTCGTTTGCATTCGGAGCGTTATTTGATGAAGTCTTAAGAAAACAAACCATAACAGAGGTACCTTAAATAATAAAACACACTGAAGCCTTTGTTTGTCATCCGGTTACAATAAATTTTCAAGGATAGAAATGTACTGAAATTTTAGCTCTGTGTTGAAAACAATATTTAATTTACTTAGATCTTAGATTTTATCAAAACGAAAAAATTTAGATCTATAATTTATTCGGATCTTTTTAGATAAAAACTGATAAAAGCAAAGAAATTACTATCATTTGTGCATTGTGTAGATTGTCACATAATCATTCCATTTTTTTGTTCATAGAGCTAGAATTTTATTATAAATGCTATCGCTCAATTTTTCAATTAATGTTTTTGCTCAAAAATTTTCAATGATAAAATTATCAAGACAATCCTGATTATATGCGCTAACTTTTGATGTAACTTACCAACACATTTTCGTACATCATTTTCAAATGAAGGCTCAAAATCGACCGATTTTAAAAGTGTTAAATTCATAGTTCAACAGAAAGTCTTAACTCTTGAAAACTTCAACGTGGCAATTGCGCTATTATTATTCGCTAATTCGGTCCTTGTATATGTTATTACCGTTTAAGGTTCCAAAGTTTAAATGAACAAAATTGATAGAAGCTAGCCACAATAACCGAAAATGGTCATATTTTCACCAAAGCTCTATGTAGTACTCGAAAGCTCACAATTTCCAATCAACGTGTTATAATTTTTTTTCCTAACTTTTCTAAGGACAGTTAAGGCTGAGGCACCCTGATGTATATATGTATACAAGTTGTACCGGAAAGTCATTGCTGGTTTTTTCGTATAAATATATTACATATTTTCAAGAAAATTGAAAATTTGTTCATTAAGAGTATTGACCACTTGATTTTATACCTTGATCGAGCCATTTTCTAACCCAGTGATTCCCAAACTTATTTCACCTACCGCCCCCTTTCCAGAAAAAATGTTACTCAGCGCCCCCCTTACAAAATTTCCGAAGGAGACATTTGTTTTCATCAAAAAATCCGATTCGCTAAATTTATGTTTTCTCGACGTTTAAAGCCATTCTGAATCGAATGAGACTAACAATTGGAAAGCAGTATGTGTGTGTGTGTCGTTTTTTGTCGTAAATCGTCGTTTTCTCAAAAATGGCTGGACCGATTTCAAACATTTAAAAGCCACTCGATGTATCTCGATGAGGACTAACTTTCTCAGTTTTGTTCGACAATTTGCCGAGCCGTTTCTTTGTAAATCGCAGAAAAGTAAAAAAAAAATCGTCCACGTTTTAATTCTGAATCGATTCTGAAAATTTAAAAATTGTTCGAAACATATTGGTTGGGAATCGACCTGATTAATTTTTGGTAATGATCGGCCGGCCCGTTTTCTTGTAATAAAGTGTTTTTATTAATATAAGTAGTAGTAATTAATAAGTAGTAGTAATTTTTTAGACAATTTTTATGTTTTTTTTGACGGTAGATACCACAGTCTCATAGATCATGCTAAAATATTTCGGTCCTACGACAAGTCGTTAAATTTTGAAAATTCGTCAAAGTTTGCAAAAATTGGTATCGTTTTTATGACGTTTGTCAAAATTAGAACTTTCAACGATGTTTGCTTAAAAACGCCTAAACCGATTTTAAAAATTTAGAAGCCAATCGATGTATTTCGATTATAATTTTAATGTGAGGGAAAAGGAATGATGGGGCGTGCGCTCGTACCTACGGTAAATTTGTTCGCAAAAAGTAATAAAGGAGTCGCGTTAAAATTCAAGCAATATTGGATTTAGACTCGGAAATTAATACAATATAAAAATCGCTATTCCAAAAATTACGCGTTAAATCTCAATCCACGAGCCTTAAGCTCCACGGTGTTGTTGGAATTTCAACGAAATCGAATAATTTTACAAATTTAGAAATATTTAATGAAGATGGTGAACGTTTGTTAAAAATATAAATGCTTTTGTGCTTACGAAAATATCAAGTCTACTACCCGCGCAGCAAATCCAAATTTCTGAACTAAATCTTTATAATGGATTAAAACTTTTGGATTCACACTTAAATATTCCGTGCGAAGTAGATAATTTGTGTAACTTTACCAAATTTTGTAAGAGCTTCTTCAGGGGCGTAACTACCGCCGTATCAGCCGTATCAAAAATACAATGCAATATTTCTGCAAGCTCAAGCAATCAACTCAATTAGTAAAGTTTTTGCATATCCGATAAGTTAATATTCTTGTCAACAAATCTATAAAACTAATTCAGATTATACATTCTTTATCGAAAATTGGAATTTGGAATTTTTATAGTTATATTTATAACATTTTTATATTTGTTTTTGTTACTACTTGAACTGTCTGCATGACGCGTATAGTTAGATTTTGATAAATATGATCAACTAAATCATTTTCAGATTTCTTTCTTTACTGTTTCAAATTATTAGTTTCATTTCTAAAATTCCACAATATGACAGTAATGACTTATAAAAAACTACCATTTTATTAAGTAATCTTTTGAATAGACTGTGCAAATTAAAACATGAAAATTTAATGAATTAGTTTGCTAAAGAAGACGAAATATTTTGCAAAAAAAGATAGATTGCAATAACTATTCCAAAGAACAAAAGACAAAAGATAATAAAGCGTTATTATGCTGTTCTT